GGCCCGGGCTGGGGATTCGAACCCACCACCTTAGGTGTATGTGGCTGGCGCCTTAGCCGCTTGAGCCACAGGCGCCGAGCCAAAAGCAGTTTTAAAATAGGTAATTGTAATGTGATTTTTATTGCTCAAGTGAGGTTTGTATTAAATATTATTTGTTAAAAATAGAAAAACATCTCTGTACTCATGTACTGAACAACTGATTAAATTCAGGAAAGTTGGGAATTTATTATCCAAATTTTAATCAAGAACATTCTGTAAGAATTAGATGGGATTGAAACATAAGCTCTTGATTTAATAAAATATACTTACTCCACTTTGTCATCTACCTTTGTGAGATACTTCTTTTCAGTAATACAATTAAGAGCAAATCTTATAATAAACTGAACTTAAACTATCATCTTGTCAACTTTTACTTTCTTGCGCCTAGTAGACTCAACACCTGTTTATAAGTTAATGCATAACATTTGTTTGTTGCATTTGTTAATGGCATTTGCCATTTTCGTGGTCCTGCCACTGTTACTTTGGTCTTTTTTGGTCACCTTTGGTGTTAATAGGTATTAAGTGATTTCCATATTCCAGGTGCAGTATTAGGTTGATCTGTTACATTAGGTGAAAGAAAACTGAGGTTTAGGAGAATTAAAGTTTATACAGCAAGCAAGTGGCAGAAATTGGCTTAAGATCCAGATCCGACTCTCAGTATTGAGCATATTCTCATTTTTCTGTGCTGCTGCCTGTCTAAGACACACATGTGTTTACTCACACACTGCACATCCCATAATTTAATTGTGGTCTGTTTTTATTTCAGAGTTGTCTCAGGATAGAAGCTTCACTTTTATAAAAATGACTCTAAAACACTATCTTCTTGTGTGTCATAGAGGAAACCACATATACAGAACCATTCTTTATAGACCACAAACAATTGATCCATGACACTTCACACTAGAAATATTTAAACGATTGGAATCACTGTTATAAAATAGTAATTTGGGAGAGTCTGGGAGAGAGCTTGCTTCAGTCCTTTCTAAAGGAAAGAATGTGCTATTAGATATATTAAGGAACAGCTGCTTCTTATGATAAATGTAATGAATGGTGTATTGTATAGTTCTTTGATTTTTTTTCAGTGACCTTAGAGGCTGGTACTGCAAGAGACAGCACCATCTGCAGCTGGAAGATTATTTATTAACAAGTCTTATTAGCATAGTACTATACTATTAAGTCTTATGTAGGCAATGAATTAAAGAAATACTGTTATTTACATATTAAATTACTGATTCCAGTATGACTGAATTGTAAGGATTCTCTTCATACAGGTACCTACAGGAGGTGGGCTACACAGATACTATTCTAGATGTGAAATCTAAACGAGTGCGAGCTTTGTTGGGCTTTTCAAGTGATGTCACTGACAGGGAAGATGACAAAAATCAGGACTCAGTTATAAATGGCACAGAGGCTGAAGTTAAAGAGACAGCAATGATTGGGTAAGTATTTGGAAAGTATTTTAGCTATAGCTTGTTCTTACTAAATATTTTTGGTTTTATGGGTGTTCCTTATATTTCTAGATAGTGATATAGAAATAATTATAAGGAAGTTTAACAAAAGTTTAAAAATTTCATTTGTTAAAAGGCAGTTGTACAGAAGCTATAGTTAAAATTGATGATTATTTTAATTCAATATTAGAATTTTTTATTTAGGATATTTTAATTGCTTGAAATTTAATGTATATTTTAATATCTTTAAACTCAATCACTTACTAATAGAACTTTATAAAAGATTCATTTGGAAATGAAGTACAAATCTGTAAGACTTTAAATTTCATTATTGGTGACCCGGAAATTCGTAAATATACCTCAAATTCTTTTTAAAGATTAATTAATTAACTTTTGGAGACAGGGTCTTACTTTGTTACCCAGGCGAGAGTTCAGTAGCATAGTTCACTGCTTTTCTTAACCATTTGGCTCAAGCACTCTGCCCTCCTCAGTCTCCCAGGTAGCTAGGACTTACAGTACCTGGCTAATTTTTAAAAAAGAAATTAATAATTTATTTATTTTTTGTAGAGACAAATTCTCAGAGTCACACTGTGTTGCCCAGGCTGGTCTCAAAATCCTGGGTTCAAATGATCCTTCTACTTAGCCTCCCAAAGTGCTAGAATTACAGGCTAGAACCACTGTGCCCACCCCTTCAAATTCTTTAGAAGTAAATCTTTTCTTAACCACTTTTGTTTAATAATAGTTTCCTTTGATTTAAAATATCTGTTTTTGATTTGGTATGTCTTAATTGATAGAATGAGTATGAAAAATGCAGTAGTTTGAAATATTTGATTTACCGTTTTAGATCATGTATCATATAATTGTATATATTCTACCTAAGAATATGAATAGTTCAATAAGTAGGCTGAAATTGCACAAAATTTGCTGGGATTCTTAAGTGAATAAAAAAAATCAAAGATTCTGTGAAAGTCTAATTATGATGTTACTTTATTTTGACATATGATTAGTCTGGAAGAATAGTTTTAATTGAGCTCTATAAATTTTCTACTGATAATACAAACATTTTTTTTTTTAAATATGTTAAGTTTGATGTAAGGATCAAAATAATATTGAATCTGGAAGGGGAGATTAGATTACCACAAATCTAAGTAGATATGATTACAAGGTACTTTTTTTTATTGTTTGGAATTCATTGAGGGTACAAAGAATTAGGTTACTAATGATTACATTTTTTTTAAAGCTTTTAATATTTATTCAGTGCTTACATATGGTAACAAATTCAATTTCACAACACATGTAGAAGAAGGTGCCATCACATTTTAAAGGACAGTAAAGTAAAGAACAGAGAATGAGTCAGCTTCATCTTCATAGGATCTGGGTTCTATGAAGAACCCCTCATGCCAGCAAAATGGCTACAGTAGTTTCAGCCTTCACATCTTCTATCCACACTATTCTGAGGAAAAGAAAGTCTTTAGTCTTTTCTGGAAGTTGTATTCTCTCTCTTTTTT